ATAATATATGAAAAGATCTCGATGATGATTTAAAAGAGCAAAAAGTTGAAGAACAAGAMATTAACGCTATATTAATCAATGTGTTAGGAAATTATTCACCGYAGTTCGTACCATCATTTCACAAAAATATGAATGATCCTCAATGATCCTAATAGCTCATGAATTATTAATGATTTTGGTGAAAKACGACGAAGTATCGTAGTTCTGGACGGCAGAGGAAAATACCAAAGTATGAAAAATATTMTATAAGCACCGTTTAGCCTCGATATAACATAATTCTTGCTATGCTAACAGGTAATTTGCGACGAAACTCTTGGAGAGAATAAATTGGAAACTTACGTAGCGTACTCTATAAACATCTACTGAGYAATACGATCAAAACTTATCTTACWGTATAAGCACGACGCCTTGGTAAAACCTTTCGACTCCATCGCCGGCCTTTCTTAAAGCTTCTTTTAACTTTGAGTCTGATTCTTGAAAGTGATTTCGATTTACGCTTCATTTTTAGGATGAAYTTAACGATCTGTTGTGTAAACTTGATAGTCAAACGTACCAACGCTTGTCAAAATCGTGATCATATTACATTCAAATTGACAGTCTGTCAATCATTTGCTGGTCGAATCATAAATTTATRCCTCTTAYRAMGTRTTTTAATCATCMAGMATTCWGAGTAMAGATTTCCAAATCAATGCCGTGTTACAYTTATTAAAAGAAAATTCGGGAAAAAGTTGACAAATTTTTCATATCAAATATTCCAGATGCTGGATTTCGTAAGAAGATTAAGAATTACGTCATATTTCTGCTGTCATTTGTATTTCCGTCAATTATTTGAGAGCGAGCTGTCAAGGCGACCAATACCAACAACCACAGGCAGCCCAATGAAAATACCTTGTATTTACATAGCCTCCTGGCTTCGAATTTAGAATTTCTCAATTTATGGGGAGGTTAATACTTAGAGGTTAATATTTAGAGTGATACATCAAAAATTCTGAACTTTCACAAAGCCTCTAGAATATCCGGGTTCCTGAGATCATACCGTGAGAGACCGGGTACGAGTCCCTGCATGGTGGTGAGATAAGACCAAGGAGTTTGTCAACTGAACGGCTTAAATGAATGACAACTTTTCAAAAATGCGACTGAGATTTCCAATAGAGGAGAAAGAAAAAAAGAAATGATAATGTAAAACAACCAAAAAAATCTCTTTCTCGGTATAAAGATTAGTAGGTCTAAGTAGAATTTATTCGTATAACGTTATTTCCACAGCTTTTTAGTCTCATTAGTAGTTTAACAAGATTATAGCATTTCCTTCGTAGGTGTTACTGTGGCCCTTTGCATTTACCGCCATCCCACATACACTTATAAACAAGTTGAGAGGGGAGTGGTAAAATTAATTTTTTTAGTAGTCTATGTGCCTCGACAGTACGCAAAAAAAAATCCTATTAATTTATCTGAGAGAATAAATTTGAGGAGAGTTGTTCACGTCGACATTTATTCTCTCACCYCAATTCATGGAGCTCGCAAGGGCGGGTATAATCAGGGCAAAGAGCGCAATCCAATCTTACTCTATTCTAGAGATTCCATTTCATCATCTCTTTTTCTTTTTCTTTTTTTTCTTGTTTTCTTTCTTTTTTAATTTTTGTTAATGATGCAAATGGCAACAGCGAATATAATGGTAGTAAAATTGAACCTCGGGAGCACGCGAGCATTAGATTTGGAAAGGGCTTCGATGATTTGGCGCTAGTGAGTCCCGTATTTCAACCTCTCTGTGACTACCTTATAGCCCCATCTCAAGTTCTCGGAGAGATCTCACATTTCGGGCAGTCGYGTTGATGCCCCTCTAATAGAGATCAATGTTTAACTTTAGTCCCCTTCGCACCCTCCCCTTTTTGTCGGGAAGCCCAACAAAAGGGAGAGGCTGCCAACATGTGCCAAGGATACTATGTTTGACTTACCGGTCTCAGAAGCAACACCTCTAAGTGTTGATGACGAGAACCTCTCTGCATGTTGACAAAAGACTGGAAATCTGCATCAAAATCTCTTTTTTGCCTCAAATACCTAATTAAAAATATAGAAWKCCCGTGAGTGGGTGATTAAATAAAGGCTCATGCTCTATTCTATTCATTTTGAGGCGGAACAAAGGCCCAGCACCGTCCAACACTTACAGTTTAACGATATTGGATCGGAAAATAATGAGCTCAACTTCTAACATCGTGCAACATTATTATAGTTCATTCGTATTATATATCAGTCAATTTAACCATCCCCCAACAAGTGCCAATATTTTTCCCGTGGAGGACGTTACCTAAACCATCTTTGTAAAAATAACCCTGAGAATATGGAAATACAGTGTTTTATAGGGCATAACCTGGTCACCCGTTCTAGGCATTTGGATCCGAAGCACGGCACACTAACTATTTGTCAGCTTCATTGCAGCTGTGTATCAATATTATCATCATCATCATAATCGAAGTCGTGGTTGAAGTCATCATTATCATTATCACCATCATTATCATTATCACCATCATCATTTTCATCATTATAAAAGTCCTCGTTGTTGTTTTGTTTTGTTAGCGTTATAATGGAAAACTAAAGGAACAAGCCGTACCATTGAAACAAAGAAGCATAACTAGAATCACAAATAACTTACGTTCTAATTCCTCTGAAGGACTGAAAATAGTCTTCGTACGTCGACCAAAGTATATCTAAATCTGTAAAAATTCGACCTGAAAGAAAAAAACATACCCTTCCTTAAATCGTTTAAACTATAGTTTGTTAATTATGTTTAAACCYATATTCACAGATAAGGGAATGGACGGTTCGGTCTTCGGCCTTAAGAACGACGCTTCGCGCCGTAAATACACTACAAGCGAGTAAATCTAGCCTTTGGTTCCCAGGGTAATGACGATGATAAAACCATAGCTATCAGGGGCGGATCCAGGATTTTCCTCAGGAAGGGGCGCAAGGCTCTCAGGAGGGGTGCAACCCACAAAAATAATTACCATGATACAAAATAAGGAAAGTATTAAAAATACAGATCTCAGGAGGGGGTGTGCACCCCCTACACCCTCCAGCTGGATCCGCCCCTGGTTATAGTAACAAACTAGTCAGTGTTGGGATCCCTGTGGACAAGGATCTGCTATCATTATAATGTGCTTACCTATCAAAGTCTTTGAAGTATCCCAACATTTAACAGCCTCATCCAACTAAAAAATGTTGCAATCAAATTATTATTTATCTGGTTTTAAAGCTCATTGCAAACTGGATACCTACCAATGAATTCATTCTGACATTCAAATTGCAAATCGTTTCAAGAGGTTCGAATAGTACTTTGTAATCTGCTCTTGGCAATCCCCATTTTCTGTGCAGCACAAAAAAAAATCAAATAAGAGAAAAAAGTTAATGAAAGGGCCACATAGAACTCTAAACTGAAAGTTATAATTTTATGTGGATATCCACTTATTTTCCATCTTTTTACCCATTTACACCCTCCCTTCCATCCATTTCCAACAATAATTTAGAGTCATATAATTATCATTCGTCTAATCATATCACCAATCCATTGTTTTGTTTTGTTTTCAAAGCTATCCATCTTGCATTATTAGACCTCTAAACGTTTTACGTCATACACCATATGCGCAATGCATTGTTGGATATGTTTGGGAGAAAAGATGGCGGTAACGTAAGCTTTAGAAGGCAATTATCGTCTAGGCCGGGCTGTTCAAAGCATGATTAGCGTTAATCCAGGGTTAACTCCATATATTTAAAGAGTCAACCGAGGATTAGCACAAATCGAGCATTAAAGAGCACGGCCCTGACTGCAAATCGAACGGAGAAACACGAGATTATCGACCTGATGTTTGTTATAGTATTAGTGCTTCTCATTCTTTTATTTCGTTTTGTTTCGTTTCGTTTTGTTTTGTTTTGTTCGTTTGTTTTTATTCGGCGACAAGTTATCAGCTGTCATAGACCTTGAAAAACGAATGAGTAGAAACATTGACGCAAAATTTGAGCAGAAGCAAATATGTGCGCAACAATTTGAGAGATTGTATTTTTCATTCGGGCTTAATTTACCGAAGAGGATCGGCGTAAACTTCAAATAAAGACTTCAGTTCACTAAAGAAGGTCTGCTCTTCGTGTTGTAGCTCTTTCACACAACGAAGCCTGGAATCTTTGACTGCAAAAAACAACAATGTTATCGTCCTTAAGTTATCACACCAACAAATATAAGATACCCATGAATTTTTTCATCAATCGCCTTACTTGAATGAATGTTATCAAGCTCGAAGTTGGACAGCTTTCTTTCTACATCTTCTATTGCAATCTCGGAGTATTCCACACATGTTGCTTTGGCATCCAAGTTTGTGATGGTTTTTCCCGGTAATTCTCGCACTTGATAATTTTCTAAGTGAAATTCTTGTACTATTTCAGCAACAAGGTCCCTWATAGTCATATTCCGATTAGCACTGACCTAAAAAAGAGAGAAGAGGAATCCATATTGAAGAAATGAAAACATTTGCAAAGAGGGGAAAAAACGATTTCCCGCGCGTTCTGTTTCAACCAATTATATTACTTGATTTTTCCCGCTCTTTTAACGCGCGCGCGTCATTCGATGCTACAATAAAATCAAAGTTTCTACTTTTTACTTAATTTCTTCTTGCCCATCTTCAATGGCATGATGAAGCAGCAATATTTTTATATCTTACATCTGCCAAAGAAGCATGGTAAGCGAAGACAAAGAYTTTAAAATCTAATTCCAATGTTATGTAAGAGAATTGTTTCCTTACAAAATGAGGCACTCAACATGATCAAACGCTCAGCTGYTAAATTTTAAGCTCTTTTTTTCCTTGYGAATAAGTACTCTCCCCCATGTTTAGTCTCCTCTCGCAGCCGTTACTACCCSATGTTTGTTTTGAACTCAATTCTAAAAAAGCTCTGAGAATATAAAAAAAATCTATTTGAAAAAAAAAAAGATATGTAATTACATGATAAACAGAATATTACATGGTTGCTTGGAGATACGAATTTTATATTCGTGTGTTGAAAATCTCTCACTCGTTGGCTGTGCTCACTCGTGAGAGATCTTTTCAACACTCGAAGATAAAATCTGTATCTCCGCGCTCCCATATAATATCCTCTATATCACCTGAAAGCAATATTACAATTATGACATGATATAGGTTATTTGTTAGTACAAACAATTTCTTCTGTCAAAACAGTCATGCAGAAATTGAAGTTCTGTACTTTCCAATCCTACMGTTTTCCCTTTTCTATTTCTCCTTTCATAATATTAAGCTTTATAATTTTAAAGTAATTTCATATCAGGCCAACCCAACCCCCAAGAATCCTACAAGATTATTATTGTTTTTTGATACAATGACACTATAAGTCATGGTTTTGAGCTGTTAATCTAAATTATCCTCAAACGGCTCTTTAGCTGCTCAAAGTTAAATGGATTAAGTATTCTCATAATAAATTACAGGATTTTCCAATCAAAAGAAAAAGTCCTTTATCACCACCCSTAGCAGTGCTGCCTGTCAGCATTCCCGTCTAATCTGGTCCCTGAGATTGTAAAGAAGGGAAGAATGTTGCTGCAGAAATTGACAAGCAGAAAATTTTAAAACATTGAATTTCTATTTCCAAATACATTGGGTTGACTCTAAACCCCTACGTACCTTCTATCGCCAGTAAATAAATCATCTAGGGTCAAGACTGAACACCTGAACTTCTGAAACTGCACTTAAAGCTAATAGCAAATTTTAAGTGCAAAATGAACTCCTTTTTTTTCTAAATTCTAAGGTGAACAGTAACTTGCAGCAATTTTTTTAAATTGCATAAACTGCTGATTTTTAATAAAGTTACTTTAAATTTTCTAAAAGTTTAGAAAAATKCCCTTTCTTTGAAATAAGGTGCCAATGTGCGAGTACGCAATTTACTTAAGGAATCATCTCTCACCTTTGCGTTACCTTTGAAAGTAAATGGTGCAGTTTCAGACGTGTTCACTCCTTTTATAAACACCTTTTAAAAATTGTAAGGTGACATCCAACAATAACTAGTCGATATGATGTGGTGTTAGATTTACACAGATTTCCATTGATAAAAAGTTTTGTTTTCATTAGATATATTTGCACCTATGGAAATTTTCTTGCTATCATTTAACATCTTTCGTATCACGTCTACTCAAGTCTAAAGCAACTTAAAGGGACACTGTCAATGGATGACWTGCGCAGTAACAGTCTTGCCTCTAACGGACTTTGAAAGTATTACCTTCGAGGTAAATCAATGTTTTGACACACTTTGGAATATTCTAGATCTGTTTACGTTTACGGGTACTTTTTTTGTCATGCGTCGCGCCAACTTGGAGTCGTAAACTTGAAAACACTAGCCTAATGTTTTCAAGTTTACTCGCGCATGTCAYCCATTGACAGTGTCCCTTTAATAATAACCAATAATTCAAGAAAAAAATATTTAAAGTTTCTKWTATAATGACTGTTGATTTTGTCTTTTTTGATCTATTTGATTTCATTCAGTTTGYCCTGTTTTGTTTAAATTTTCTCTTTTGTTTCCTTTTGTTTTGTTTTGCAATCAATCATTTCAACAACCAATGGCATCGGGCCATCAAAACCGCTAACAATTATAATATTTAGTTAAGTGCTGTACAAATATGGTTTTATATATATAAATTTTCAAATTTGTTGTAAAAGTTATAATACATCAACTGGCACAATTATTATTATAATAGAATAATTACTAACAATACCATTGCAAGAAATCTCATTAATAATATATAACTTTATAAATATCCAAACATGTATCGTATTGTATTGTATTCCAAATACCAGTTTGAAAGGTTGGGGATTTTTCTAGAAYAGCACTAAGTAGAGTGGGTGAACATAGTATTTATGATAATCCATGCTGTTATTGGCTGTTTCTAGCTGTAGAAGTCTCAGTAATTTCATTTACAGATACCAATAATCTTTAGTTATTATCAATACTGGGATTAAATTGCACAGTAAAATACATAGAACACCAATACATAAAAAWCTATAACAAAAACTCTACCAAAATAGTTATAAAAACAACAGATGTGTAAAGATACATCAGATCAAACTGAACTTTCTCCTTACAAATCTAGTATAAGTGTCTACTTTAAGAAGTGAGAAAGTCTAAGTTGATCTGAATCCTTTGATGCCTCTTGATTWGAATGGATAAAGCTGTCTAAAGTTTGAATCATGCAAGCAATCAATAATCTGGCTTGATGTCTGAGTATTATGAAATTTACAAGGTCAAATCATAAGAAGTTACTATAAAATTTGTATATATTTATATATGATCCATACTTTCGATAAGCTTATGAATGGTCCTTCATTTAACTATACAAATATAAGTCTGAAAAACTGTGGTGTTTACTGGAGTATAATTTCCTGAAACCAATTGTAAAGCTATGGAACAGCTAAACAACAACCTTCCCTACACAATTGATCCAATTCTTCTATGCTCAAAGGTCAAATTCCTGATGACTCTAAGCCACATGATAAAGGCTCTAGTAGAAGGTTTCCATATGAAATACGTGAAATTCACTTTATATCAAAACATTTATTGCATCAATTCATTTTTACGGGCAAATTAATAAGTGTTCATTTCATATCTAATGAATAACGATYACGTMAAATTCGTGGTTACAAACCGCAAACCACTTTTGGGTCAATAAGGCGAAGGGCCCTAGCTCAGATCATAATATACTATAGCATGCAGTATATTCCGAAAGACTATAGAATAATGTTGCCATAGTTTTCCAATTATGAGTGTTTAAGTCTTAAATCACGTCTACCGTGACAACTTTGTCTTGAAATTTACATATTGATGTACAAGCTTGTACGTTTCACGGTGATTGGAACAGTTAATCGATTTCACTTATAATTTGTATGAATGTCTAAATATCGGAAACGGTTCAAGATCGGTTTTGATACATTTTATTGCAGATCAACTGGGATGTATAGATTAACGTTCGGCTGATAGATAATAATGCTGTCCATGACGATTGAATAAAAGTTTTAATTGTCACTAAGTATACAGCTCGGATGTCTGCATTTTCGTTGTTTACATTCGCTGATTCCATACAGAGTTTTACACGATAAAATTCCTTTGATAAAAGCTRAAGCACTGTTATCAATACAAAATTGTTCACACACTCTGATGACGAAATTCCAATTCAAACAAAGCTGAAATTTCAATTTGGCAAACCTTTAATTAATCGGTCCTTGARCACATCAATTTTCGTTATAAACACAGCCGTGATCATATTAAATATTTGGGTTCTATTAGTACTTCGTATCGCTCATCAGATAAGGGATTTTCCCTCAATCATACGACTCTGAATAACTGCAAACTACTAACATAGTACATTTTCCTTATTTGAAGCAATACTACAGTGTTAAGATGTTAGAGTTTGTTAAACACTGTCGTGTTCGTCCAAACAAAGCTATAAAACACCGACACAAACACCTTAAAACCTGCTTGAGTATGTTTCTTACTGTCCACCGAAGAAAATGAATCGCTAGAACAACTATCGGAATTCAATGCTAAATGGCATCGCGAATCTATTACACGAAAACATTCCGACTCGATAATGCYACTTAAATCACGGCTCAAAGTTTATAAACCAAACCTCAACTCAGGYATACTATAGTGCAGAAGTGTTGAATACAGAGAACGAAAGCTCGAGGAATTTCTAAACAAGGAGACATGTTGTGCGTATGCATCGGGCATCCTAAATATGTTACTAATATAGATACTCCACTCACCAGACGTAGATCTCCGTCAGGTAGAATGGTTCGTACGAGGAACGTATTCGTCGGTTCGTCGTCCATACGAAGGATGTTAAGCACTCCAAGCAACGTTTTATCCGCCATGGAACCGGAGCGATTCAAAGCGGGCAGCCCTCCAGAGAAAGAACGTTTTCTCACCTTATCTGCATTGGGCTTCGTGTAAGGAGAAGCGGCCATGTTGAGCGTGTGAGCTACGGAAGATAAAATGGTTGCAGAAAATAGCCCTCTTTAAGACGCATACTTGCAAATATACTATAGTTCATATATAGTTGCYTAATAAGTCTAAATTAGGGGCCTATAGCGTTGTTTTGAGGGAGCATTTCGATTCCTATGGAATATTATTTTGATGAGGAGTCGGTCACTTGAGACTTGGCCTATTCGAGGCGTAAAGAATGCCACGGATGAATCGAGAGATCTGATTGGTCGACTTCTTCTAGAGGAAAATACTAATATTTATTACCTACAAGGAATGTTAGCTATTTGATAGTACACTCGGCGATCCGAAATTCCGTTTTAGTTTTTAAAAGATAAAGCAAGACTCATATTTGGAATACTTTTAATGAAATTGTTCAGACGTCAGTCACAAGGAACAATCCAAAATATTGTAAACAAATACTTGCTATTTTCTTCCTCTTTTTCACTTTTTTATATTTTTTTGTTGCATTTCTTTATTGAAGTGTAAGAAGTTAAACGTAAATAAAAACCTTTTCAAATTGCTGCAACATATCCTTTTTTTTATTTATTCACTCGGCTCTCGGCTATAACGGTACGGAGTACCCTACCCTCGTTTTTGGATAAATAGAGCGCACGTGAACGAAGTGACAACCGTTGATTACCTGGGCTAGACGATCATTGACCTTCCCAGTATGGTAGTTTCAAAACTGACAACATTTTCAAGTCATAATTAAAATCGTATAAAAGAATGAAGAGGTCTATTTGTACAATCTTCAACTTAGAGCTCATTCCTTTGGTTACATTCTAGAAATTCCAAACACGTTCTTTCTGTCCAGTTACGGCAATGGCGGCTGCATATCAATGATGATATTATAACTGATTACACGATAAGGAATATCAGGAAATACCAAGGCATTCTTATGATCGTTGTATTAAAKCCCTGGGTATGTTTAGGAAATAGGAGTTTAGTCGGTAGTTCAGGATCATGGAGAACTGCGGTTTACAAAGTATGTAGTGGTTAGTAGTCACATTGTGTGTTGGAATGGGTGGGGCCAGTGGAGACAGGAAAATGTCGCCCCCATTGGCTGATAATTTGCTGCCGGCAATGATCATGGCTAAGAGTTATGTAAGGAGAACTGATAGCTTATATAATGCACTATTTGCATACCTTTGAATATTTCAAGTTTACTTTTTGATCCGTCACTCGCTTATTTAGCATATAGTAGTATCATTATTTAGAGCCTTCGTTTAAGCGTATTTTCATCAGACTGTATTTTATGATATTATGTCATCATTTATTATTATTAGTGTGGTTGCTGAAGTCGTCGTCCTCAGTCATATAATAATACTGTTATTTTTATCTATATATATTTTTTAGCTATCATCATCAGTTAGTATTCTCTTTGAATAAAATAATAAACGAACTGAGACTGACATGCCAGACCCATGCCAAAGTTTCAAAAGCCTGGGTAAAAAACGGACTTTAGATTTTTTTGCAGTAACCAAACTAATGACGGCTTGCACTTAGTTATGGGGCGCACGTGATAGTAGATGAGTCAGTAGAGGTGGCTAGGAAAAAAATCCAAATGAGCTTTGACTAGAAGTACATATTTAATATATATGAGACCAAGGATAAATACCTATGGCAGGTTGAAACTCCCTCCCTACTCCCCCCCCTCCCTTTCTAATAGTGACCCCGTTAATTGTCATATTCTGTAGTGTGAAACTGATTTCTTTTTGCTACGTGTTGCATGACCAAATGAACATCTCCTGTCACACTTGATCCCTTAMTTGCGTAGATGCATTGTGTTGCGTGACGAACGTGACACCCACTGTCACACTGAAACATAACTAYAGYATTGTGTTGCGTGACTAGAGCACCTACTGTCTTGCTTGAACCCATAAATTTTAACACCTACGGTCACACTTGAACCCATACAATTGTGACAYTACAGTATTGTGTTGCGTGACTAACTGAACCATACATTCTACAGTGTGACACTACCGTATTTTGTTGCATGACTAGAACACCTACTGTCACACTTAAACCCATACACACCTGAACCCATAAATTCTATAGTGTGACACTACAGTATTGTGTTGCATGACTAGAACACCTACTGTCTGTGAGGTCTCATAATACAACTCTTTCAAATGGGCTCGTTTTTGGAGGCTAGCGAGGGGAGGGGAGTGAAAGTTTGAATAAATAGGCACTGACGGGTTCATGACGTGAAACCAATTTTTGAATAAATACTCAATATCAAATACCGATCATATTCCATTTTTAATCTTTTTCAGACGTAAAAGAGTTTTTATAACAAACATACCATGTAGATAAGAACACCACAGTGTTTGAAAAATAAACAAGCTATGCACTTAAATGGCCCGAAAACAACTTAACGTATTTGAGGGTCTCTTAGGGTTAAAGATTTATTGATTTGCTGTCTGTGAGGCATTCAAAGAATAACCATAACCTAATAGGAGTCCGATAAGGCTTGGCATTGCTATTGACGTCGTTACATCAATTTCAATGGACCTTTTTACTAATACAAGACTTTCACAATGGCCGACACTAATTAGCATATTATTGTTAAATTCATAATGCTGACAAAAGAAAACACTCAATGATAGATATCAAAGCTAAAGATAAGCTCTGAAAGTTTTAAAGAAAAATATTAAATCCTCTGGAAGTTATAAGGGTTGGAAGATGCACAAAAACACCAAAACGAGGCCACCGAGGCCTCAGTAAAGAATTTCATACAAATCCTTGWATTTTCATTCCTCCATAACTTCGTTAGTATTTAGTCTATGTGTTCAAAATTTTGCACAATTACTTATTTCTGATAGTTCTTCAGTGCTGAATGTTTCCTTGATATTGTCATTCATATAAAATCGATAGTAGGCAATTATGAAAGTGGTCTAAGTCGCCATATTGTATTTTATAGAAATTATGGGATGTCCAGGCGCAAAAGCACAAATTGTAATATACAATAGCAGCAAAAAATATTGCTTCCTCTTTTCTTTTCTTTTTTCACGAATTAAGAAATAATGCTCAAACCGATAGCATTCTAAAAGCCATGAGGTTGTAAGTGTATATTGTTGTTCGGTGCCCTCTAGGACTGAATCGATCGATCCTGGCAACAAATAGAATTCAAGATGGCGGCGCAATAGTGGTAAAAACTTTACTAAAAAAAACAAAACTGAACGGAAACCAAATAAAACTAAATTGTCAAATGAAAACTCCACAAACTGCCTATCACCTGTTTCGAAATACATGAGAAAGAAATTTGGCGCACTTCGCCTACTTAAAGTATATGAAGTCGATCACTAAACTAAGAAAATGTTCGGTTTCATCCYAGACCCATAATAACACTATAGAAATACTATGCTTAATATGATAACGATCCAGCTCCTTCTCGGATTGGTTTCATTAAAGTGCAAATTTCGCAAATCATCCTTGGGGGGTTCCGCATCACGACTCACGGCTAAAAATTGGCTTTTCACGCCTCACGGCCAATTTTTTTTCAATTTTCACGACTCACAGCCAATTTTTTTCTAATTTTCACGACTCACAGCTAATTTTTCAGCCGTTTCACGGCTCACGGTTAATCCCATTGAGACCCTCTTGCAAGTGTAATTATGACGTCACTATGAATTATTTGCAAAGCATTCTGGTAGTTGAATTTATGACATCATCGTTCAAATTTCCCACAACATTTATTACAAGGCTTTGTCACTCACCTCCATACTTTCAAGGCGATCTAATTCAGAAACGTCGTTATTTATTTCTCTCCAGTGATTTTATATTTGTAGGATGCTCAAAATACTTCCCCTGTGAAGAGAAAAGATTATTAAATGGTGCATCCTTTGATCCCGGCCTTTTTTGATCATCAGCAATTTAAGTTGACAACGTACATGATGTGTATGGGGCGCTTACAAGTGGATGTACTGTTGAAAGAAATTAAACAGATAATTAAACAAGAGGCAATAGTCAGTAACAACAAGAGAATCCCATAGCCATAGACCTTATTAAATATAACAAATAAAAAAATCTATTATTATAAATTCAAAGTTTATCTTTTGGCATGAGACGTCATCTTATCACAGACAAAATTTTTGTGTTGAACGGAATGGCATGTTCACTGAATTTGTAAGCGAATATTTAGAACAAAACGCTTCTACTTGGGGACTAGGAGTAAGGCAAAAATGCAAGAGGAGTGGTTCAAAACACTCAAATATAAATGGACACTATCTCTATATAAAATATATTTTCCATAATTACAAGTTGAGTGATCAGAACACTTATTTATCTATTTATTTTTTTGAATATGTATGTTCGTGTGCCTCCTCAGTTCGTTCAATGTTTTAGTTCGGTACAATAACTGTTCGGAAAAGTATTACATTCCTAGCCTATAATCTTGGACATAAATGTTCGACAATTTTTATTTTTGTGCACGCACGTCATTTCCCACACTATTCGTCGATAAAGCCTCCCCCCCTCCCTCCCCCTGAAATAATAACTCTTGGAAATGTGATTTTCAGCGTTTTGAGAGACATCAAGGGCATATAAAAGGAATCAAATTTATTTGAATTTTTCAGTCATTTGTGTAAAAAAATTATGTTTCCTTCGCACTAGTACGCACGTGCGTGTATGCGTAAAGGACACTACGCGCCTGCATGGTGAGCGAAGGGGAACACTCGTATTTGGGGTGGGGGTGATTGTCGGAAATTTAAAAAAAATCCCCATAAAAGATACAGTCTCTTACGAGAAAAGGCGTGACAATATCTTCAACCCTAATAGTACCAACTGAACAAATTCAACAAATTCAGTTTTTTAAGCACTTTGAACAATTCTTGTGACCTCAACATCGAATACTTTCAACCGAAGGTTTCTAAAAGGAGTTTCATTGCATAAATTCTCTGATCTATCAATGCCATAAACAGGAACAAATGAAATATGTAAACCCTAAAAGATAGCAGAGCCACTAAGACATACTACAATCACCTCGGCGAGGCGGGAGAAACTATTACCATATTAACCTCTAACCTCTAGGGTTTTCTCACACACGCGCGGATCTAAATCTTTATACTATCATGACGTAAGTCTGTCAAAGTCGTCGGCACTTTGTATCAATACTTGAAAATGACAACAATCAACTGAATGCGCCAGAACTAACCGCCATTTTGAATCGGGACAGAAAATTGTAAAATATAAGAAATAGATTTGTTTTCGTAGCTTTCTAATTTTCACTAAGACTTAGTTATAAGAGAGAGAAAAAATAATGAATCTTTTTATTGCTATTATTTTGGTTGACAGCTAGTATCATTTTTCGAGAAAATCTAACCCTTAAAAGTGAACGGGACTGTCAGGAGGTCAATTCGGCGTGATCCAGATTTCTCAGCTATTGCGTTGACGAGGCGCCCCTATTCAAAATGGCGGGCGTTAAAGTGACAATGGCAAGATTTGCTAAAAAAACTCGCGCCGATTGACAGCCACGTTGACATTGCCCGTAATAATAATAATAATTTAATTGGTAATCATAATGACGATTCCAACAACAGCAAAATTTATCGCCGCCTTGTTGGATGAATGGACAAGAGAAACTAAGGAATGCTTTGTGATTTTCATCCAACATGGCGGTGATGACGTAACGTTCACATATATAAAATACAAGGACTTCGTACGGGTCGTAGAAAACCTGGAAAGTAATGGAATTTTCTATTTTAGTTTCCCAGGCTTGGAAAGTCGTTTAAACGTTTGTCGAGGGCCATGGAAAGTCTTTGAAAATATTCTTATTTGTCATTTGTAGTTATGACTACAATTTCCTGAATAAGTTACAAACAAATGCATTATATTTAATGACGAGCACTTAGGTTTTACAATTAAAGGCATTAAAATGCTGCCAAATTGTAACCTGAATTGAAGCTGTGATGTGCTTGTATAATAAACGGTATGTTTTCTGTATTTGCACTTCGAAAACTATGCCGAAGTCTTTGAAAAGATACAAGGAAAGTCATAGAATTTAATTAATATATTATATATACAGCATAAGTCTTGAGGGTGACCAATGGTTTAGGTTGCCGGCGTTTTACATAGTATCATTATATATTAAGTGCAAAATTTATAATGACTGCATTTTCCTCTCTCGCTCTTTTCTTTCACTTGGCCTTCGATTAGCTTCTATGTACACTATGGGGCGTACATTTAAACACAGCAGTGATTATAGTTCAGGGTAACTTTTCAGCAAAGTATTCATAGAAAAAGCTAAAATTATAACAATTATAACCTCACTTTCCTTTGTGAGGTGACATTGAACATTTCATTTCATTTAAGGACTACTTTGTATACAACACACCTCTATGTCGCTATTCTAGAAATCATCATGGTACTTTAACGAACTATTCACTACATTATCGCAACATAGATGAACTCAACAACAACAAAATTGACTATCAATAATCATAACTTACCCGAACAAATACGTCAAACGTCTATAGATTTAATACTCCAACATATAGACCTCTTCATTGCAAAGATTCTCTTAACGCTAAAACCACGTTTGATAGATGTAGAGTTCAGTACAAAACCAGTTTCGTGAAGAAAACGTTAATCTCATTCGGCTTCTATCTAAAGTGTTATGGTTCTTATGTAAACATGGATGAGAAGCATCTTCAAACAAGAGCTTTCATTACAAAAAGTAATTAAGATTGGACAATGGATCAGAGCTGTGTACTTTACTCTTGAATCAATAAATATACGAAGGAATGCTCATTCATAAATGCTTTGTGGTTTGGATACCACCCCTCCCCAAGCCTCTAGACTGGTACATATATAATACATTGAAGGTGTTCCCATGTGTTCCTTTTGGAACCCATAAATTTTGGTTCTTCGAACACTTAAATAGGAGTTAACACAAATTTCCCTATTTCGAAAGTAGCATTTACATAAAAAGTAGCCGGGATATTAAAGTAAAGCTCGATATAAGTTGAATTTTTTAAAAAACAATTATGCTAATTTTGTGAGGTATGGATTTGGTTACATATAACTGGCATTAATTTCAGATTAATTTTCTAATTAGAATTTTTTTACTTTATTTTACACAAATACTTTTCTTCAGCAAGGGAAAGGAAAAATAAGTACATATTAGCTGTGAAATGCATCTAAAAGCTGTAGCTTCGTCCCAGGCTATTCTTAGTCAACTCAGATCCAAGATGGCGGGCGTACGTTATGCAAACGTGAGGAGCAAGTGAAAACTAACGTCGCGCGCCGAACGACTGAGAGTAGACTGGGGACGAGACCGTGAGGGCTGCACTTAATACTTAGCCAGGCTAGTATTCTCTGTTTTCGAAAGAAAAAGACGGTGCCATTTGTAAAAAAAACCCGGCGGAAAACACCAAAAGTACCATGAAAGTATGGTAAAATACTGGAAAGAGTAGTCTCATACTCGACTTTGAATGTCAGATGAAGAATTAGCATAGAAAAATAGTTTAGAGACAAAACACACTTTAAAGGCTATTGTATTCGTTATATTGTTCTTTGTTGTGCCATGCGAATCTGACTCTCTTCACTCAATTCAATTCAATTTATTATCTAAGAGTTTTATAATATAAGAACATCAAGACATATATAGGGGTACATTATAATCACAGATTTTGATCAAAATTCATACATATATAAAAGGAATAAAGATCGCGATTGAAGTAAATGAGATCCCCTGGATGTAGCCAGCTCAATAGGAAAAAGGGGATTATATCTATCCTCTCACAAGCTTCTCCCTGCAAGAGATGATTTTTGCTATGTCGCATGACTCTGTCTCGGGCCCTCTATTCTTGGTAAAACTGTCCTTAATAGCTCCTTGAATGCCTGCCTAAAATTTGTACTCTGCCAAGCATACAAAAGTGGATTCAGTGCAGATTGTCCAAAATATAGAAAACTAGCATATTTGTAGTATCTACGCCCAAATCTGGATTCGTCGCGGAATGCTGCCATAACTAAAGTGATGCTTAAAGGTATAAAGCATAAAGCAAATGCTACGGTAATAGACAGAGAAAGCCTGAGCAATTTTCGTCTTGACACAGCGTCTCTTCGAGCTGGGATGTTTTGCGGCCTCACAGTGTTTTGGAAATATATATCACGAACAATTTGGAAATAACAAAATGTAGTGATAATGAAGGGGAGAAACACGAAAATGATTTGAACTACGACAACAAATATAGCTTGGTCTTGGTGGGATAGATTTCTGTAAGAGCAATTTTTTGACTTTCCATTGTAGCTACCAAAGACATAGTATGGAAGGGACACGATACATCCTGTTACCCATGCCGCTATTATAACAAAATGGACGTTGTCTTCTCGAAGCCTCAGTCCAGATCGCATTGGTTTTACAATTGCGAAATATCTTTCAATAGCTAAAACTAAAATAGTTAGAATTGATACAAGACTTGCTGTGAATGGTACGTGGTATGCTATGAAAAATTTGCAGAGAAAGTCCGAGAGAGGACCATTCTTTAAAACAAGTGCTGATCCAGCCGCCATTAACAGAAGAAAAAACAAACTTGTGAGATCTGAGATGGCCAGGTTAAGAAGAAGATAGTTCGTTGTTGAGCGAAGATACCGTTTTTTCTTGACTGCAATAATTATCATAGAATTCCCAACAATTCCAAGGATGCACATGATCAGCGAAAGACTTCCATAAATGATTTTACTCATTGCGCCGAGATCAAAACTGTTTCTTTTCACCAATTAAAGGACGGCTGAAAATTCATTGGTAGTTAAATCGTTTGAAGTAAGAGCAGATGTTAAAGATTTGTCAAGTCTACGCCAAAAAGTTAATTTGACAAGCAACTTTAGAGGAAGTATATACACTTGTAATATAAGACTTGAGTACCATACATATTTGAACAATTGTGACAATAATGCATCATTACTTCCTTAAACTTGAAGTTGCCAGAACTTTCATCCTCAGAAAATAATGGCCGCAACATCAATGAAATCTTGATCTATTGTCTGATTTTTGACTCCTTTTCATGTGATAAATATTAGGAAGTACACATGAGTATAGGGGAAAAAAAATAAACCTTTAGAAATCTGTTAGTGTTTTCGGTATAGTTTCTTTGTCTACACTTATAAGAAATTGCACTTATCTTAATTATTTTTGAAGTTTGAATTCTCTTCACTAAAAAGCCGACTTTCTTAAAAAAAATTGCTAACTACAAGGCATCAAGTCCCTATATCCATATGACGACGGAAAATTTTGTATCAGCATTGCTGCTGTTAAGTTGTTGTTGGATTGTTGTTGTTGCTGCTGTTAGTTTTTGTTTTTGTTGTTGCTTTGTTGTTGTTGTTGTTGCTGCTGTTGTTGCAATGAATGTCAAGTCTACACGTGTCCAACTCCGGACCTGCGGTTTTCGGAAACGGCGCCGGCCTTCATTTGTCATTTACCTAAATTAAATCTGAATACGGATCTTTTACGTGCAACAAAAAATGGTTTTGAGTTCAAGAATAGTCGTGTGGATGGAGTCAAATTGACGTCAAATTTATTCTTTTGAAATTTTTACAATACAAATACAATAGGAATTCAAAAGAATAAATTTGACGTCAAGTGCGGAGAACACAATACCTCGGGACTTAATAAAAGGGTGTATACGACACCAATTATGCAGTAACAGCGAAAACAAGGTATTTTGATATTGTTGAGTCGCGTGGAATCCCAACAAGTTAGATAGAAATTACAATAAAACAAGGGCGGGGCTGGGCTAGGGGATGGGGATATTGCATTTCAATTTTGATGGGCAAAAACTCTCGGATCCTTTCATAAAAATAGACAGCTCCATACATCCTGAAAATTGATCCAGCACATAGTCATTTGTATAAGTAGTTCAATGCTATTTATTGAATTGCTAAAATACCCAATAGTGCTTCATGGACATAGCCGAATTTGTCACTTACTAACTAAGGGTAGGGTAAGTCAAGTATGTATACTATTGGCAATCCAGCCAGGACCTAAGTAGGGGTAGGGTAGGTGGTTTGCTTCATCACGTTTTCTGTTCCTTGCTGCAATCACGGTTGCAACAAAACCATTCATCCAGCCGCTGTGTTTGTTCACGATTTTTGTTGCTCTTTTGTCTTTAAGCTCGTTACCATAATCGAACAAACGGTCGTATCTGAACGATGCGAGGTTCATTCCAAGAGCGGCCTGGATCTGTTAAGTAAGCATATTATATAACATCCATGATCAACAGATGGGTGAGTGTCAGCCGGTGAATCTCTAAAATAAAGTGTCTGCAAGGCCTGACACAACAATTTCTGATTCTCTGTGAACTGATTCTATATAAAGTAGATAATTGAATGATGGAATATTCCTACAGTTCAGTGTTGCGTCTTTGAGTTTTGAAGTTTTAATCTTATAATATGCTCTAATGATAATGACGTAAAGGGAGGCTTTGAAACAGTTGCTCAAAAATGTTTTCATGAATGCCATCTGGGAATATGGTTATTCCATACATTGCATACGATAAATTTAATGCCATGAAACCATTAGTAAGCGACTCCTTCAAAGGGTCGTAAATCTAATGAAGCCCGTCTTTGACGTCATTGTCATTAGCATATTGTAAGATTGAACCTTCATAACTCAAAGACGTAACACTGAAATGCAGGAAGACACTAGTGAAAAACGCACTGCGCATGCCTACAGCTTTCCCGCCAGTGAGCTCGCGCGTCTTGAAATTTGTAAACAGAGCGCCTGGCGATTTACAGCAACAACACAGAAAACACTATGAAAAACCTCATTTTCTCAAAGTAGAAATAACAAGATAAAAGTAAAAACTACATACTAAAAGAACCTATCATGAACAATGATTGATGGAAATATGAATCTTATATATCGGTGAACGAGCTTATAAATTGGAAAAAAACTTTCACAAAAATCGCTTTACAAAGGAAATTAGGCAGATTTCAGCGGGAAAGCTGTGGACATGCGCAGTGCGTTTTTCACCAGTGTCATGCAGGAATATTTCACCATTCAATTATTTACTTTATAAGAATAGCTCTCAAAGAATCAGATATATGTTGATTAGTCTCTCCCAATCATCCTCAACTATCTTCAACACAGGAATCCCAAGAAGATAGAAAATCTCAGTTTTGCCTGCAAAGGACTTCTAACTTACCGTAGCCGTTGTTTTTCCAGGAAGGTTATAAATGTCAAATTGTCGCTTCTTTACTCGTCCGTCATTGTAAAGCTTGGTCGGCATATTAGGCGTATAAGAGCCATAGTAGTTAGAAGGGTAGTTCATGGCACTGTGCTGTGCACTCACTGTCCAAATGATACCAGTGAGAACATTCACCAGTTCATGTCTGGTCTTGATTGAAGGTGGAAAACCTTTGATCTATAGTATATATGATAATAAGGAGCAATCCATTAGAATTTTGAAGGGGAGGAGAGGGAGAGGTTGGAAGTTTTTGAAAAATAAGTTCCTGCAAGGCCAAATTTTGAAAAATCAGCACTAAAGCTTTGTAAATTTACAAAAAAAGAAATTACATGCGCGCGGCTCGAAGTCATAAAAAATTAAATGGTTAGCCCTTAAATCGATTTAGCCCAGTGTTAGATTGTACTGTAGCATTCAAAAGGAGAGAAAACTAACTGGACGTTTTTAATGAGCCTGTTTTGGCTGGACCGGATAAATTCAACGGTTAAATGTAGCCTTGTTGTCAACTTTTATTACTTTTATTTACTTTTTTATTTGGCGGACTTTGAAAAAACCTGTGATTGAATCTACTTACTAACAAGTCTATGTTGATATAGGGGATTAAATTTTACTCGGTCAACATTTTGATAATACACGTTCTGCAGCGTTGCAGCTATCTACGCTAAATGCCGCTTCAAACAAGTCAAACTGAGCATGCTCCTTACCATTCCATGACCTCCATCTGGCTTGAACTTGCCCTCAAAAGACACTTCATTAGCAAAATTTTGAAGCTCGGGATCAAATCTGACATGGCACGTGTGTTTATAATACCTGAAATGATATTATTAGTTTCAATATTAATTCGAAAAATGAAATTTAATGATATTAT